ATACACGTAAAGATTTTTAGTCTTTTAGATAAGGTTTTATGGACAAAAATTTTTCCAAAGTCAAATTTCAGAAATTAAATATGATTTAAGGGTCATTTACTCCCTGATGAATGATGATGACCCTTGGATCCAGTGGCACCAAACTCTCGGGTTAAAATTTGTGCTCTCATTTTCAAATATTCGTCTGGATTATTGGATAACATTGTTTGTGACTTAATCAAACCAAGAGTAACACCAAATCTAACTCTTAAAATTTTCCCCCAATCCCTTGGCGTGGATGACGACCATTTTTCTTGTTGGATTTGGATGCTTCATTTGCAGTGCTCATACGTACTCTTCCGATTCTTAATATAAGACTCAATTCTTGAGTTAATTTTTGTCCTAAATATAAGACTCATTTCTCATATTTATCAATTTTCTCTAAATTACCCCCATGGATACTTTCTCAACCATAATCAAGTAAAAGAGGGAAATGGGGTATTAAGAAAGATAATTATGGTGTTTAAGAAAAAATGTGTCACTTTTTTTATAATTAACCAACTTACCTAACTTCTTTAATCTAATCAAATTAGTTAAATGGGTCTTATATTAAGGATTAGAGGAGTATAAAATTACTCCTATGTTTCTAAATAGGCAGATCTATAATTTCATTCTTAAATGGGCTTCAGAGAATTATTGAATCCATTTCCAAATATGCATTTATTGAGACCGCGCTTTAAGATGCCCTATTCTAAGTAAGATGAATGAAATAATTTAAAATAGCTTATAAATAGTTTTTTAATTGTGATTTACGAAATATGAGATAAGTATATAAAAAGAGTTTTATCTCAATTTATATAAAACATACTTATAAGTAATTTTGAACTCTATCCCAGATAGGCCCAATAAAAAATGAAAGTGTGGATTGTAAATTTTAATCAATAAACAAATGCTTTAAAGTTACAATTTCATGGTTAAATTACTCATTAGTAATTTAAGATATTACTCCTTCTCATCCTTAATATAAGACCTAATTAACTAATTGAGAGAATTGAGAAAGTTACTATATTACTTTAAAATATTTATGTTTATCGTTTTCCCCCCAACTAATTTGTCTTGCTTATAGATTGATATATAATTTAATAATACAAATAAATATTTTAGAGAGATCATATAACATACTACTATACTCTAATTAAGTAATTTAATAATTTTTTAATATTTTTAAATTAGTCAACTAAACTTTATATTAAGAATTAGAAGTAGTAAAATGTATATATGATAAAATTTATAAACGAAAAATCAGATTATTTATAAATTATTAACTACACAGATTGTTTGAAAGCTGACATATACTTCCAAGCCCATTGTCTAGATTCAAATTTTTTCGAGCAGGAGTATTGAGGTTCTTAAACTATTAAATGATACGAGTATGATTTTATCCTCCAGCTTCAAAATCACTGCAACGTCACCTCCATTGTTAAAAGCAAGTATGTGTGTGGGTAAGCCCCATATAACGTTTTTTTTTGACCGGAAAAGCCCCATATAACGTTAGTTAATGGGGTTTGCTCTCTTTTTATGGTAGGGATCATATTGCTTCTATTTAATTATATACCACATTTACGAAATATTAAAATCAGGCCATTGTTATTGGGTCCCTTATCATAAATACCACCTCTGGTCCTAATTATAAGAACTAATTGATTAATTTGAGGAGATTAAGAAAATAAGTTAAGTTAGTTATTTGTAATAAATAGGTGTTGTCTTTCCTAAAATATTTTTACTAATCAAGTTTATTGGCTAGAACTATTATTATTAGAGGAACTACCTTAAAAAAATGTATAAATATAAGAGACAAAGTGGATTGGGGTTTTATAATTAGAACGAAAATAAAAGTTAAATGAGATCTTATATTAAAAATCGAAAGTAGTATAAATATATATTATTAAAAACTTGAAATTAAAGAAAGAATGGAGTGCACAGTGGATGCGATTACAGGTCATCATGGCATCGAGCATTGGAGTATAATGGACCTCAAAAGCACAAGCCATATAATATAATTGTCACTCATTTGTCTTTTTATTTTACTTTTCTTGTCTTTAATATAAGATCTATTTAACTAATTTAATTAGATTAAGAAAATTAGATAACTTAGTTTTTTTGAGCAAAAAATTAGATAACTTAGTTAACGGTAAGAAATGTCACATGTTTTTTCTAAAACACTATAGTCATATATCTTAATACCCCTCTCCCTCTTCTATTCGATTATGGTTAAGGGAATATCCACAGGAGTAATTTAGAGAAAATTGATAAATATGAAAAATTAGTCTTATATTTAAAATCAAAACTAATTTAACAATTAGATTTTATATTAAGGATCGGAAGAGTATTTTATTTTGTGTATATGGTGAGATTCCTACATGTCATGCCATGGATACACGTGTCTCGTCCTAAATGGTCTATTGGCCGGTGCAAAGCGCTTAAATTATAATACATGGAAGCATCCATGCGTACGATATATACCATTCCGGTCTTGCTTTGGACTCCTTTTTTTTTTTTTAAGGGCAAAAAAAGGAATCGCAGCCTGAAATTTTATCCACTGATAATAAAAATATCTGTTTTTTTTTTTTCAGTCGACATGTAAAAGAAAGGTACAATCAAGACTAGATAGCCTACCTATATATGGTATCTTTATTAAGAAAAAAAAAGTAATTTGTCTGTCCTTCTAGTTTTAAATAAGGTTTTTCCACTTTTTATAAGATTGTTCAAGTAAATGGTCAAATATCCATAAGTCCGTGAGTTAAAAATTCTTGAGCTGGAAATATTTTGGCAAGATGCACATTGACCAAGGCATCCATCCAGCTTGTTTTTGTGCCTTTGTCCTGGTGATGCACCTGCCCATCCCAATTGATCCCCTCTGTTTTTCCAAACTTGTCACCAAGCTATATTCAGAATTGTAAAAGATCAAGTCTAAAACAGTTTCATCATAGTGGTTCCCTTTCCCTCTAAAGATACTTGTGTTTCTAAGTTTCCAATCATACCAGACCAGCTGGTTACCGTAAAGAGGGAGCTCCACTTAGGATGCTTCAATTTTATTCCTAGACAAATGCAATTTCCATCCCAACCATCTGATTAATTAAGTCCATGTATGTTGGAGAACACACACGACGTTTATCGCATTTCATGCCAAGGTTCGCGAAGCACATACATGGGAGAATATTCTCACTATGACTGGGGCACCTAGCACATGAAAGACTTGCAGCGTCTCAGAACTCCCTTCCATTGGATCCCTTGGTCAATCTCCCATTTCTACAGTTCATTTACTACGGAAAAAAACAGAAGACAAATTAACAGTAAAATTCGGTCGATAAATCAGTTTAGCGATGAAATTCCATCACTAATGATTTTTTTGGGCATCCTTGCTAGATACTAGGAATGAGGTTGTTGCCCCCGTTTGTATTTTTCTTGAACTACTTTAACCGAAAAGTCATCTGGTTTCTTTATGAGATTCCATCCCAACTTCATCACATGTGCATGGCTTTAGGGCCTTAGCATGTGAGATGAGGAGCATGAGCCAAAAAGAGAATCTAGTCACAAAAGACTGACGTATTAGAAGGGAGAACCCGTTCCTAAAATACTTGTGAAGCTCCCCAACGTGATTCTCATAACGGAATACCTTCCTCTAGAGCCAATGTCCCCAACTCTATTTTACGGTACTTCACTTGGTCTTTTTATCAGTCAGAACCATTCTCAAGTAGTTCTTTCTGGTTGGTTAACTCTCAATAAAAGCACTAATATGATGAGTACAAGTCTAAAAAAAAAACCTAATCCCAAAAAACTAGCCTATTAAGCAGGAGAGCTCATTAAACTTGTAGATCCTATGACACTTGTCAAGCTTACGGGACCTTGCTTCTTCCTTCTGCATACTTCTCTCTCTGGCAGTCTCTTTTTAACTTCATAGCCTTTGTCCGCATGGTGGGACTCCCAGATACTTTCCCAAGTCCGCGATTCCAGTGCCATGCTCTTCTCTTCCTGCCTGTTATTGTGAACATTCTCTCAGAAATACACTCGCGTTTTACATGAATTCACTTTCATGCCAGAGCTCTCCGGATAATTGCAAGTTTTATTAACGAATAACGACTCGCATAACTGGAAGTTTGCAACTTTCAGGCATAGACCCAGAAGACAGACAGACAAAGAAGGAAAGTTGGATGCAAAACTTCGCCGGAGACCTAATATATTCTGCGAAAGGCGATTTCTTTTGACGTTATTGGGCATAAGATGATAAGAACAAACAATGAGCATCTCGCTGACCCAAAAGAAGAAGCAAACCGAAATTGACTCGCGCCCTTTTACGGTTCCTTCATGGGCTACTCCTTTAGATCATTTCATAAAGCCCAACATTTTGCATACCCAAGCCCAGATCCAATAATAATGTATTGGGAGTCCAGAGAGCCGTACACGTTTTGAACAAAACATACCGCTCTTTTCACCAAAAAAAGAAAAAGAAAAAAGAAACACGACTCTTACAAAACTTATGATGAGAGCCAATCAAAATTGTTCTTCCAATTCAGGGAGGGTTAATCCTCCACACCGTGTTGAATCAAGATTAAAATTTCTGTATGCAATTTTTTTTAATTTTTAAGGTCTTTTTTTTTGGTTATTTTTCCTAACAATACGATTAATGACAAATTGATAGTACTCAGTTGCATAAATTATTAATTACAATAACGATTAACGAAAAAATGCCCCCCTAAATCACGAACGATGAATAAATACATTAATTACGCTTTTGAACAAAATTATAATCGTTATTACGGGGAAAATTGACCTGAAACCTAACGACGTCGTATATCTGCGTGCTGCCCTCTCTAGAGCTTCAATATTGTCGCCCTCTAACTTCATCGAAATTTCACGTTTATGTAGCGCAATTACTCGAAGTTTGAGTTAAGTACAGGGGTAATTTAGGGATTGAACTTTATATATAGAATCCAACACTACCTCCTCGTCGGTTCGTTTCTGAAGAGGGCGAGCGATTCTGGGGAAATTCCGTTATCCATTTACATCACCTCTCTCTTTGCATATTATCCCTGGGTTCCGTCTCGTTCACAAATTAGGGTTTTTGCGTGTCGCTGTTCTTCGATTTTTAATCAAGCTATCGAACCATGGTTTCTGATTCAATCACCACCGCTCCTATTCCTTCAGCTGCAAACGCTAAGAATCTGGGCAAGAAAAAAAGGGTAAGATATTGATTTCAGTGTTTATTTCAATGTAACTGTGATTGTTTAGTTTAAGCATTCATTTCTCTGTTTTTATTTTCCTCTTCCTAATGCTTCGGGGATTTCAGACCAACAGGTCTGCTAAATTAAAGCAATGTAAGATTGATGCCCGTCGCGAGCAGTGGCTTTCTCAAGGTAGGAACGTTGTTCATGTTTCCTTGACATGCATTTATATTCTACGTATGCGTGTATTTCCATCGATATGTTCTTTCCCTAATTTTAGTCTTTTGTCAATGTATCCGTGGATGGGTATTAGTTATGGTCAAGAATAAGAATTGCAAGGACGGAGGGGACGATGGCCACGCGCCTCCGATGCCTGTTAGGGAAGACGGCAAAGTTTCATGGGAGAAATTGGAGAGGAGTCCTAGAGCTGAAGAGATTGATGGATCGCTCCATCAAGATGGCTACATTGAATCTCTATCCAATAGTCCCTCCAGTTTTGATAGTAGCATGTTGGGGAGTAATGATTCAGGAACAAATTTCACTGGGAGCAGCAGCAGCGGCAGCAGTGCGGGGTCCTGCTCTGGGAATGTCACGGAAGAAGAAGGCGACGATGATTGCTTGGATGATTGGGAGGCTATGGCTGATGCTTTAGCCGCCGATGACGAGCATCAAAATCCATGTTCGGAGCTGCCTCCCGCTCATGAATCAGCTGTGCAAATGGTTTCGCCTCGTGAAGTGACTCATGGGTCGAATTTAGGTGCACGGAATTCTAAAACCGAGAGTGATAGAATCGTTCCGTGGGCCTCTGGCAATAGGAGAGCTTGGAGGTCTGATGATGCTTTTCGTCCTCAGAGTCTTCCTAATCTATCTAAGCAGTATAGCTTACCAAATCCAGCCTCTCGTAGTGGAGGAGGGATCCCATGGGCTCGCCCTGCTGCGCCATCTCCTTGCCCAATATGCTGTGAGGATCTTGACTTGACAGATTCATGTTTTTTACCTTGCTTGTGTGGATTTCGGCTTTGCCTCTTCTGTCACAAGAGGATTCTTGAGCAGGATGGCCGCTGTCCTGGGTGCAGGAAGCCTTATGATTGCAAATCTGTTGAGCCAGAGGCAAACGTCCATGGAGGCAGCCTGACTTTTAGTTTGGAGCGCTCGCGTAGCATGATTTATAGGACCTAAAAGAGAGAGTTCGTTGTTGCATCTTAGATTTAATTTTCGTAGGTCTAGCTGTTGTAGGTATGGATTTTGTGCCCGAGGGAATCAAGCTATTTCTCAATAGTAGTATGGTCGTTATCTTGTGGTGCATTTGTTTATGCAGAGTACTCAGGTTGATTTGTGAATAGATGATATGGTATAGAAATTTAATAATTGAAAATTATTGCACATGTTGTTTATTTTGCTTGTGTTTTGACTTCTTTTCATATAATGTGTTATTTTTGTACTCTTGGCTCTTTATACTTCCATGCTGATAATCATATTAAATTCGGCAAGCTCATAATTGTCCTTGAATTTCATTTTATTGCATTCACCGTTCCTTTCTTCTTTGCAAGCTGTTCTAGATTTTGATGATATTCCTTCTTTGCAACCTCTGCTTTTCTTTTTCTCCGCTTCATTGAAAATCCTTGTTCCTCTGATTTGAACGCCTGAAAGATGGACCAGTAGTAATTTCTGCACACTTCTAAAGGATCTTTCTGTTATGAGAAATGTAAGACTTAAGGTATGAAAATCTCTTTGTGGCACGGCCTCATTTCTTTTTGTTAGCTCACTCTAGTGTCAGTCACGTCAATAAATGATTTATGGTTGCTGCTTCTATATATGGTGAAACATATTAGCTACCTCTTGTTCTGGTTGTATATACTTTAAATTATTGCTTCTATTATTTTCTGGGACTGATACTAAGTTTTTTTTTCCTCTCATGGTTATTAGTTCTTGTGCTGTTATAACATATGTTTTATTCGAAGATTTTTAAGTGAAATGGAGGGGGAACTAGTCATTTTATTGGGTATATAATTTATGATGAATTTTCCATGGGCGTGATTGGTTTGATTGTTCAGTTCCTTCGTTATCAATGTTGTCTTTTGACAAGGATGCCCAACAAAAAAAGTTGTTATTATCGAATTGTATCCTTTACCTGGAGGGAATTGGTGTGCGTATTTTACGTAAATAATTACAGTAGCAGCAGCTTATCAAATTCCTCTTCATATGTGAATTCGGCAGGATGGTTTATGATATGGAGAAATGAAAAATATGTCAAACTAGAGAAACAATGTAGGTGTATTACACTGGATGACAAAAGAAGATTATTATCTTATTGATCCAATTTATTTTAATTTAATATCCCCTGGAATTGTTCCTAGGTGTGGTGTTGCAAGGTTAGTTCACTTATTTAAACTTGATTATAAGTAATTTGTTTGCATAGAAAATTTCTATTTTTCTTCAATTTTTTCATTATTTATGCGCTGTACCAAATTGTTTTTGTTGGAATAGGATGGAATATGGCCATCCTTTTCTTTCTGGGTTGGAAATGGTTTGGGGATGATAGAAGCTTAAGCAAATTTTGGGAGAATATTTAGCTGATAATGACGGATTTTGCGCCCATCTCTTATTGATTAATGATTATAAGCTTAATGATACTTATGTGGTCGCATTAACTACCTGATGTGTAGGGAAATGACCGACTAATCTATTTTATGGTCACAGATTCATGTCGCGATGGTAAATACTGATCAATAGCTTGAGGAGGGTTTCTTTCCTAAGATGTTATGCTGTGAACAGGTTCAAACTAATGATAAGCTTAATTTATTAATTTATCATGTTTCATGGTGTATTTTGGTGGGATTTATTAGTTCGATCAGAGTGTACAGGAGCTACCGCACTTTCATTCAAAGGTTCTGGAAATGGGAAGGTAGGTAAGATGTAATGAAGCTGTGCCCATCTGCAAAGGTTCGAATTATGGATCAGTTTTCTGTGAAGGATCATATTTTTGCATTCTGTCGCTTGAGGTTCCCTACTAGCATGAAGGATGCACTTGCTGTAGTGTATAAGGTGTCTCTGGATGGATTTCTCAGCCACAGCTGAAGTTCTTTACAAGAAAATTGAAGTAGTTTCTGCTATATTCCTGCATGTATTTTAATTTTGAATTGATTTTCATTTTTCAGGATGTCTTCCTCTCTGGCAGCTCGTATCCTTTCACCTTAGTGTGAATCTCTCCATCTCCATTCAAACTATGATATAAACTTGCTTTAATATACTAGGAATATATGTAATTGACGAACTCTCTAGGAAATCCAATTTAAATTTACAGATCCATACATCTAATTTTTATTAGGTTGCACAAGTTCAACTAATCATGATGTATAAATGAGACTTGTGCTTGTTTGGTAAGGTTCATGATCAGTTAAAATAGCTCGTTTTCCGAGTCATACTTCATGCAGTGTAAAATTACTTAAAATAAGTTAACTCAAACTTTATTTGGATTAGTGTTTGAAATTGCTTATAGACAGATTTTACATAGATCAAGATAAAACTCTTCTCATATAATTATTTTATATTCTGTAAATTATAATTAAAAAAATTATTTATAAATTATTTTAACCAGCTCCTTATAAGTTAAAATTTTGTTCTTGGATCATAATAACGAATCATAAAATGTCAGGAACCAATATTGATCAATATTAAGATAAAATTATTGATCGGTAGTAAGATAAAATGTGAAACTTATGACCTTGTTTATGAGTTACGGATAGTATAATTTATTTTTTAAAGGATTAAAGTGTAAATTTATTTTGAAAGTTTTTATTCAAAAGCACTATGTACTTAAAAATTCTTTTGGGGTAAATTTGTCTCAAAAGTGTAAAATCGAAACAATATTGTTTTTAACTATTAAAATACTTACGTTGAATTTTTTTTTTTGATGTAAATATAAACCAGGGCATTCTATCAATGACTTCTCAACATAGCTTCACCTCTAACTTTCTCTTTCACAATTCGGCATATCAGAAAAGCAGAATAAACCAGGCACACATTGAAGTGCTTCCTTCGCGAGGATATCAGCAGCTTCATTCATGTCACGACAAACCCAGCTAAATAGTACATTCCAATCCCAACGTTGCATCGCTACGATTTCATGCACAAGATCCTCGTCGTCTCGATCCTCGGCTGTGCCCAACATAATAGCATCTAGCAGGTCTCGATAATCTGATTCGACTATAACGTGCCGGTGACCACTGTCCCAAGTGTATTTCATGCCCATCAACACTCCCCAAGCTTCTGCTCGAGAGGCGTTCCCCAGCCCGATATTAAACATAAAGCCTCTCATAAATACTCCCTTCCAATCTCGCATCAGTCCTCCACAACCGGACATTCCACTTACGTTGACTCTTAAAATAACAATGTTAACTGTTAATATTTTTAATAGGGACAATATTGTTACAATTTTAAATTTTTAGGGTAGCTTCCAAGAAACTTTAGGATATCCAATGCTCCTTAGTAAAAACTTTTAGAACAAGTTTGTATCATAATTTTTTTAAAAAAATTCATAAAATATATGAAAACACAAGTTATGGTGACGATAAAACATTAACTTTACAGAACACGTATGCGGATGTGAAGGAAGAAAGGAAAGAATACAAGTTTTCCTTTAAAAAGGGCAGCGCACATTCTTGATCATATACTCTTCAACAAACAGCTTTTTAATAATTTAATCTTTACTTATATGAAACGTGTTTATAAATACTTAAATAACCCAACCCAAACAAAAGAAGCCTGTTTCCGGAAATCAATTGGAGTTCTTATCCCAGATGAATGTAAGTTGTCAGGTGACCTTAGAAATTAAATGATCAAGTTAAAAAACTTCGAGGAATTTAACTTTGGCATGTACCCACTCGGACAACGTTATATAATTTATATTATACATAAGACAATCGTGGAAAACAACAAAGCTGTGGATATCAACCACTACACTGGAGACACGCAAAATTATTTTGATTGAAACTGAAACATGAGTGAAGAGCAGGCTCCTAGAGCTGAAATTTGCCAGCCTTGTAATCCTTAGGCAGCGTCCCTTTCCACCACTTCATAAAGGTCGTCTCCTCCAACAAGGCATCCTTCAGAATCTCATCGCTCTTCGCATCCCACCTATTGAGATCTTCTTCCAACTTCTCAACCCTCTTCTTCAATTCTCCATCAAACACTCCCTTGTTGGTTTTGCTCACCAGCTCCTCCGTCTCAGCCCAGAAGCAAGACTCCGAGCTAGCCCCTCTCTCCAAGTTGTATGTATGTTCGATCCATCTCTGTGTATACCTGTATCGTTTAGGCCTGGCCCTGTTCATGTATGGTCCCGTGTCTTCATTCTTCAAGTGACGATAATAGTTGGCTATGTCCAGTGGCTCCACCAATCGCCGAAACTTGGTTCCCATAGCTATCCAGTCTTCTTTGCCTTCGAAATCATCTGGCAGTTCGTAGCGTTTCAGCATTTCGATGATCTCGTCCCACACACCTGCTAGCACCAGTCTCCTCACATTTGCCTGGAAGTCTTTTGAATCTTTTTGAAGCTTGAACGCGTCGTAATATCCCACCCCCTGCATTCTGCTCACTTCCTTGTAATCTTCCAGTTGCCTCATTGTGTTTAGAGCTTTTTCCTTGTCGATCTTTGCCTCGTTTCTTTGCTTTTGTTTCTCCAGCTCTCCTGCTGCTCTTAGACACAGTCTCGCTCTTGTTCCCTGAAATCCCACGCAAGCAATGTTCAGTATTCTCACATGTTCTAGCAAATTGCTATGTCTAGTTTAGAACTTGGAGCTCTAGGTTTCTCAATAATACTATATAACGCTAACTATGTGAAAAACTCATTCAATACCTCACAGAGTCAGCAATGATTAAAGATCGATGAACAATATATGGGCACATATAACTAGCTATTTCTCTTCATTAAATCTTTTCTATCTATGTCAGGTAATAGAAATGGATCAAAATATCTAATGAATTAAGATATTTTGCAGTCATGTACTGATGTACTCCTAAAAAGAGTCCCTTGGAATAAATGAGACTCTGCAAGACTGATCACTTTTCTATTTTAATAATATAAGAAGTAATTCCTTGTTTCTATTTCTGTTCCACTTAGATATGCTCTCAATTGAAAGCGTTGCTGGGTAATTATTTCCACTGTCGCAAAAGCGAATATATCATCAGACCAACCAACAAAGAAACAGATCATGTTAAGAGAAAAGCAAGGGAATTATGGCTTACAAGTCCAAGATCAGTGAGGGCAGTGTCAATATTTGCAGCAGCAGCATCATTAGAACAATGATCTTTAGACAAAGGAACATCCTCAAGCTGATACAAATAAACCACATCCTGCATCCCCAAGATATCTTCAGCTTCCCTCCCATACTCTAAATGCTGCAACACCCTCTTTTTCGCCACTTCATCTCCTTCTCCTTCTTCACTCAGCACAGCACTGTGAAACAACACCTGAAGCACAGCCTCTGAGTTCTTCATCACTATCAGTCTCCCATTTCCCGTGCACAGCACAAAAGTCCCAAACGGCCTGTACGGGCTCAAAACAACGAAATTCTTCACCGTTTCCAGCAGCAAGTTGGTGCTTCCCATGAGGGTGCAAGCTCGATGGCTCGCCACCGTCGCTGCGTTCTTCATCACTGTGTTGTAGAACTCAGAGTACCTGATTGGGTCCGGTGATGATGGTCTGTTCTTCTGGCTCAGGACCTGGAGAATTGGATCTAAGGTTTGCTCCACAGACGAGAACGGAGCGAGGGAGATTCGAGGGACGATGTCGTATCTCAGGACAAAGTGGATAAAGTGACGAGACCAGTCTTCTCGGTTCGTGGCGTGAGAAAATATGTGGTTCCCGACCAACGGAGATCCGAAAGTCACACAGACAGCAGAAGGAATGTTGGCATTCTGATCGCTTCGTTTTGGGTCTTTTTCTCGTTGTCGGTCTTTTTCTCGTTGCCGGTCTTTTTCTAATTTCCAAAGTGTCGCCAGCATCGCCACTGGGCCACCGGAGGAGTGACCAGTGAACACTATTCTTTTCGTAGTCTTTTCCACCTGCAGATTCAAGTGAGCAACTCGTGAGTTACCAAAAATAGGAAGGGATGATCAGTTAATTACCAGAAAACTAACCAACCAACAATTAACGTTTGGTTTAACTTAGAATTACCTCGGATAGGAAGGATGGATTGCGTAATAAGGATTGGAATCTGGAGAGGGACGCTTGGTTGACCAGAGCAGGTTCATCGTTACCGATGCTTCTGAGGGAGGGGAAGAGAGAGAGATCGATTTTGGTTTCGCCGAAAGTTTGATCATGGGACCAATCAGAGGCAGACCAGGATGGAGGGAAGCTGATGATGAGTTCAGAAGAAGTGCCACAACGATACTTTTCGGAGAGGAAAGGTTTGTCTTTGTGGGGCTTGAAGGCCCGTTCACATGCCTTATTGATAAGGTCTTCTCTGACGCCAAGCGCATCTCCAAGTCTCTCGCTGGCCATTTCTCCGGTTCCTGAACCAAAAGACAGATGAAGTTAGGTGGTGTTGCTTTGTGAGTGGTCGACGGTGGAGCTAAATATTTAAAAGAACCTGGCGATGGATGCCAGCGACGATCGATGAGAATAGTTTGGGCTTAGAATAAGGTTGACGAAGACTCAAGCAGGGCTGACTCCAAAAGCAGGAGCCGGGGCCTGGACATCTCCCTTGTCCTTTCCATCCATTTTCCTGCCGTCTGTCTTGATCGTTACTGGATCCAATACTTATAAATAATTTTTTTAAGTGTAATTTACAAAATACAAAATAGTTATGAAAAAAAAATTTTATTTCAATTTACATAAAACATACTTATAAGTGATTTTAATTGTAATATCAAACAGAGCTAATATTGTTCAATTTGAACCGATGTTATATAGTAGAAAATAATTTTATGAAGTATTTTTTTCATTATTCCTTAAATTATAATGACTAAAATTTAGTAGTTTAATTTTATTTATTTTTTAAAATAATTTAATATTTTATTTATAATTTTATAAAATATGAACTAAATGCAATCTCATGATTAAAGTGAAAAATAGAGGGAAATGGGGTCGAAGAGGAGTGGTGGGAATCAAAACAACAAACGGATACGAGTTCTTTACTTTTTTTATCCCGCAAGACCACGACTGTATTTGAATTAGGTTTTTAGAAATAATTTTACACTACAAATAAATATGTAAGACATTTTGTTTTGATTTGTCTAATACTTTTGAAAAACTAATTCAAAGAGCATTTCCACTGAGAGTAGAAATTAGATGAAACGAATGAATAAATAAATAAAATGGGTCTCAAGTAGAAGTTGTGATAGTCTCTCACAACGTGGCGAATTAAGGTTTGAATCTTCACTGAAAGATATACCCACATTTAGTGCTCAACAGTGTTTCGAATAGAATTACCTTCAATAGAAGGATACTTATGTTTTAGCAAAAAAAATAAATAATAAATAATAAAATGGGTCCCCCCTTGAGGCAGCACCCTTCGCGGAAGGTACAAACGTCCTCCCCAATGGAAACGCCAGAAAGCGAAACCAAGCAAACAGCCCAGCGGCGGATTATTTTTATTAATTATATCATCTCTGATGCTAATTATAAAATGGGAAAGTTTTACTGTAGGATCGTAGAAGACAATTAATTTTAAAGAGCCCCCAAAACTTTCTGAAACTTCACTGCAGGACTAAGGGGGCAAACTGATATTAATTCCACAAAGAAAATGACGCTATTGCCCCTCATAATACTTATTGCAAGGTGACATGTAAATGGACTAATTTCAGTTGTAAATAAAGGTATGTATGTTGCAAATTGATTAGTCCCACTTACAAATGGGTTCTCATACACTTATTCACTCACAGGCACCTTTTTCAGGTGAATGAGGTGATATGTAAATGGACTAATTCTAATTGTAAATAAATGTATGTATGTTGCAAATTGACTAATTCCACTTGCAAATGGGCGCTCCCACACTTGTTCACTCACGGAGACCTTTTTCAGGTGAAGGAAGTGACATGCAAATGGACTAATTCCAGTTGTAAATAAATATATGTATGTTGCAAATTGTCTAGTCTTACTTGCAAATGGGCTGTCCCACACTTGTTCACTCATACACATTCTTCAGGTGAAGAAGGTAATATGTAAATGGACTAATTTTAATTGTAAATATATTTATGCATGTTGTAAATTATCTAACCTCACTTGCAAATGGGTTCTCCCATACTTGTTCACATGAGGGGCAATAGGGTCATTTTCTTTGTGGAATTAATATCAGTTTGCCCCCTTGGTCCTGTAGTGAAATTTCAGAAAGTTTTGGAGGCTTTTTGAAATTAATTGTCTTCTGCGGTCTTACAGTGAAATTTGCCCTTATAAAATCTTTTTTTGTAGACTAGATAAATATAATATCTATCTAATCTGAAGTCTGAACATTGCTCGGTTTGTTCCCCTGGACTACTTGATACAGTTACAAAAATAATGCAAATTTGTTGGACTACTTGATTTTAGTTCGAACTGTGCTAGATTGGTTTTGGAAAAATCAATTATGTTGATTTCAGAGAGAAACATCTAATTAAATAATAGGCCTGCTTAAATATATGAGAGCTCATATGCATGAATGGATGATGTCGGATTGAACGTAGGGACTCATTTTTTGGGTTGAGGAATTTTCTGGCAAATTAAATCACAGAAATCTGTCCTAAAGGAACAACAAAGATGGCTTTTTTGTAAAATGAATTGGAAATTTAAAGACTTTGGCATAAATATGTCTTCGTCAGTACTGCAACTTCCATGGCAGCTTCCTAGAAATGTAGATTTTGTTTCATTTTATTTTCTTCGAGGCCACGGTACAAGAAGACCACAGAGACCTTGTTTATTTTGAACGCGTTTTATTATGCTATTAGGGGCTCCACCCCCTTTTCTTTGCTCCTTCCGGGAAAATGTTACCACTTTTCTGCCTCCACGCTGCCTTTCGTTTCGCCCATTTTTCGCAGAAAATTCCCCGTTGCTGCATCCCGGAAAATTCTGGGCTGTCTCAGTTCCCGTGTCACTGATCATCCTCTGTGGCCCAATTTAAATGCCAGGGGGAAGCAAGAGTAGGTCCAATTATTAGTTTTATTCCTTAATAAGAACTAAATAATTAATTATTTAATTTAGTGATATTAAATTGTTTTTTAAATTAGTTATTTATAACAAATATAAATTCAATAAATAAATTATCTACCGGAACCCTTTATAGTCAATAAGTATATTTTAAAAAAAAAATTACAAATTTAGGAGACAAAATATATTGAAATCTTATATTTAAGATCAAATTCAGCTCCCAAGTGGTTATTATATTAACAACCTGATGCAGTTTTTTTTTTAAACAAAAAATAGATACTCTAGAAGCATATAGTACTAGTTTTTCCCCTTGTATTTTCGTTGAAGGCATATACAGATATAGTACTGGGATAGGGGCAGCTCCGAACATGGATTTTCAAATCATTAGGGTTATTCTACTTCCTTTTCGGGTAGCTGTAATTAGTTCCCTGACAGAAACCCAGAGTGGCGCAAATTTTTTATGGAAATAATGGATAGATTTCGAATATGCACCAGTGCTTCCTGAACCTGTTGCTTCTGCCAAGGTCGTGCTTTTGACGGATGGGACCGATATGGAGAGCTCGGATCCTTTCCTTATTCCATCGTCTTAACATTTCACCATTTGATTCGTTCACAGAAAAATTAACCTTTTGACAAAGCTCTTGTTGGGCCCGTCCTCTTTCTGGGGACTGAATCACTGCTTCCGCCATGAAGTGTAGCAAACTAATCCTCTGTGCTCTATATCACTGGTTCCCCTCATTCTTGCTTGATTCTCAGCGCTTCGGATGTCTTCAGTTATCAAACCAAAAGGACTCAGATTTTTATACTTTCTTTTGAACATACAGGATGGAAAAGATATTCTGGACGCATTGTAATCCGTCTAAACCAATCATAACAGAAATTTATATAAGAAATGACCATCAATTATCCATCCTCCCCAGTTAAAATGATCTGCACTCACTTCAGTTAACCTTATCCCCTTGTAGTGGCTTCAACCTTGTCTAAACTGCACCCGTCTTTCTCGTATAGAACACGATGATCTCTCAGGACTCATGCTAGAGGTCGGCAAGTGAGAAACCCAATGCTGTTCGAGGATCCCTAAAAGGCAACGCCTCATCGGTTGTCCTATCAATCGAAATCAAGCCTTTACTGCTTAACTCAGCAAACAATCATAAAAAACTTGGAATGCTAGCCAAAAGCTCGGATGATGGCGGAGGAGGTAGTACACACAGGATTACTAATGGAATTTAAGAACCCAGGTCTCCACGGGAGTAGATGATGATAACATTACGTTACAGGCTGCAGAAACGAACAGCACAAGCCCCCACCTTCAACGGGCGCAACCACAAAAATATATATAGACGAAAATGTTGCAAGAATTGAAACAGAACTGATTAACAATAGAGGCTTTTTATTGATTTTTTAACAAATCTCATCTGTACAGAGGCAGAATCCGCTAATGGGGGCAAAAAATCGTGACTTTAGGACCTATCAGCAATCTTTAATGGTTAGTGTATACATGAGAGGCTCCAAGACACGAATATAATTTGTAGGGAAAATGGATACAAAGAATGCCCTATTCAAAATCTGGTAGTAATATAGATCTCTTGGAGGACAATGATGACAGTCGAGGTGATGACGAATCACATGGATGAGACTTCGATGAGGTCAGTGTTGAAGGAGACGAACTTGGATCATCAAATCGCCTTTTTTTATGAGATCTTTTCTCCTTTCCCTCCATTTCACCCCTCATGATGAAGTCAGTCAATCGTTTAACATCTGATAACTTCACTGGCTTTAATAGAAATTCCTCTGCTCCTTCCTCCAAACACCTGACAAACAGAAGCACAAAGGATCGTTAGAGGGAAAATCTTGAACAAAATTATTATGTCGGCAAGAAAGATTTTCTGTTGCGTGCTCGTAATGTGGTTAAATAGTCAAATGTAACAGGTCACACCAAAATGTTTGACAAAGGACATAAAGCAAGTTCCTTAATTATTTGAAATTGCCTGTAAGAAACATAACATGCGAATGAACAGTAGTACCCATCAATCCTTCCACATAATTTGGCAATCATGATGACAATAATGGCCCCAACACCAGTAGCGTTTGTAAAATAGAGTTGTCCATTGGACAAATAGAATCTGGATTTCATTATGCATCAATTATTGAAGCCAGAAATGCAAATTAAAAGAAAGACGTTAGGTTATGCTTGGAGACGTGCTTCTGAGATCATGAGATCGTGGGGGTCAAACATGTATTTGATTTACTAAAGTCCCACTTACAATCCAAATTTTAGATCGAAAATTGCTCAAGGCACATCTTCCATTGAAATCAAATACATAAAGAAATTCGTTTCAAGCGACAAGCTAAAATGAATATCTTCCAACTAATCAATTCGAGAGCATACCTATCAATCCGTGTCAAAATGTTCTCAGAAGACATGATCACCACTGGAATCTCTCTAAAAATAGATGACTCCTGCTGAAAATAACACAAGATAAGGGTAAAAGGTTAGCTGTTAATTTCATTCCGACTGCAATATGAAAAGATTCTTTAGAACTTCAAACAGAAAAGAATGGAACTCTTAATGGAAAGTAAAAGCAACTACCAACCTTG